TGATTCTGTGGCATGGTGCAAGTTTGACATCTATTTAGTTTATTTGTGCAATAGCCTTAAAAAGAAAAAAGGCCTGCAAAAACAAGCTGATTTGAATATGGCATCGTTGTGATTATTCTAGGTCCCGCCCACTTTGTGTTTGCTCAATTCAGGAAAAATGGCTGAGCAGTGACAATGTAGCTGCATCCTGTGCAAACCTAAAACTTTGCATTGAGCTGTCAACCTCATAGGAGTTGAGGAATTACCTGCTTCAATTTATTTGGAGAGAAACTTCTCAGCATTTCAAAACCAGAATTGTCCTTTGTCAGACATTTTGTGCAGGATGGCTTCATCAACATAAGCTGTCACGCACTCCAAAAAATATATATTTCATTTTTTTAAGCAACACTTACACACATACAAACATATACATTGATCACTCAGCAGCTAAGAAATGACAACCAGCAGGGTACTGTGATCATGGATGGATGGATACACATGGTTGCACATAAGTGGTGTGCCGGTGCGCATGAACACTCCAAATTGAATATTGTGCTTCCGTTCAAATCCGTCACCTTGCTTTTGCGCACTGGAATAATGCATTTGAGTCTGTTAGCTCAGGCTCCGCAGCCTTAATCTGAAGTCAAGTCGGCCGCCACGATTGCTCCCGAGGATCAACTTCAAAATAAAAGTGAAGTTAGGCGTTGCTATCCATGTCCGATAATGCATCAGAATATGTCCTTGCGGTCCTTGGTCAAAAAAAAGATTGGCCACAGGGTCCCATTTTGCAAATAAGAGGTGGGCAAATGTTTTTTTTTTGAATGGGCCGTGCAATTCATTTGTGTTAAATATGAATTGAATGTATTTTTCTGAAACAGTGTATTTTATTGTTTTTATAACCTGACATTGTGTAGCCCTGGTAGCCTGTTGTAATTAGGAAATAAAAAGTGAAAACTGAAAACAAGTTTATTCAGTTCTATTAAAATTACATAACGACACATTAAAAATTAACCTTGCCCAAATGTGCCACAAGTCTTTAAGGTCGTCCAAGTGGTTGGTGAGTTGGGGAAAAAAATTCTGTTTGAAACAACAACCTCTGGTGCTCATGTGAGGACCACGGCCAAATTTTTATGTATTAAAAAAAATCATTCACTTACCTTGCCAAGAGGATACGTTCTCCCAGTGGTAATGCGTGCCCTACTCGCGAAGACTGCACTGGCCAGGTGTGGAAATTGAAGTTGGGTGGATGGAAATCTGTTGATGTGATTTGAAGCAAAACAACCCATCTGCTGAGTGGATGCCAGGTGGAAAAAAAAAACATTTGTACTCACAATCACACCAAAGCTTTTTAACTCAGCGGCGCAGTAAATCAATTAAACCCTATTGGATTTAGGGATTTTGACTCAGCTCAAAAGTAACCCAAAATGGGTAAAACATTTCATAACCCCACACTTGGGTGGATAAAACTATCCAGGTTTTTAGTATGTACCCATTCAGAAACAATTACAGTATATTATGATGATCTAGGAGCAAGTCAGTGAATCATTGAGAGGGGTCTTGAATTCTGGAATACCATTTGTACCAACTCTTACATTCATTTGACATTGAAAAATGACTATTGGACTAGATATCAACATTCCAGGTTTTATTTTCAAAATAGCATAGATAGATAGCATTGTTTGGAACAAAGTGTGTTCCAGAACTGGAACAGATACACTGAATCCAAAATGCATCCACAGTGCTTCACCCCACCTCCACCCAACACACACACACACACACACACACACACACACACACACACACACACACACATTTTGTTAAATTATAACCTTATTGCAAAATGTAATTCATTTATACTTTTGGTGAATACTTGAACCCCTTTTTTCTCTTCTTATGCTCTCCTGCCACCACCTTTCCATCTCAAATCTCTCTCGTCTTGCATTTTCTACATATAATCAATGCCACCTCTGTGCACCTGCATCCGCTCTTGTCAGTTATTTGTCTCTCTTTTGACAATTGAGGTACTCACCACAGCTGTACAGAGCAAAATTCACGAGCATTTGCCTTTCCAAGCTCCTTTCCTTCATACTAAACCTACCCACCACCTCCTAGCCTTGATGCCCTTCACCAACATGCTCAATGACGTCTCCTCCAATCAACAGTCTCTGCCCTTGAAGAATACTCTCTATCTCCTGATCCAACTTACTCCAAAATGTCTCCTTCCCGTCCCAACTGTGGGGCATCACCACTCACAAAATTCATGATGATGTGTTCAGTTTCTGGCTTGACAACCATCACCCTTTCTGAGTTTCATTTCCCCTCGGTAACATTCTTTACATACTTTTCTGTCAGAATCAAGCTTGCACCATTCCTCTCTCTATCCAGACAGTGATAAAACAGTTTGAACCCAACAACCCGCACACCCTTTTCCTCCTCATCACATCGGCCAGCTCTCGACTGACATTTAACGTTCCAACTCTCAGTACAACATATGCCTTCCTCCTAACCAAAGCACTCTAATGACCAGTCAGTATCGTAGATTGAATGCGTGGAAGGCTCAGTTGTCTGTTTCTCACACCGACGCCATTGCATGTCTTTTTTTTTTTTTGCTCTAAATTAGCCCACAGGAAGGTAGGTGCAAAAGAAAGCAAAGCTTGCTAGCAATAGTGTTTTTCGTAAACCTGAATACATTACAGTACTTTCAAAAAAGAAAGAAATTGCTCAACATGGCAGTGGTGTTCATGTTTGTGATTAGGATTATGAATATTAGATTGACAAACCACATTTTTATAGAACCCCAATTATGCTAAACATAGGTACAAACAAGCAAAGAGACAAGTACCGTAAAACAAAACAAAACAAACAAAAAAAAAACTTGCACTTCGGTGGATGCAGCAAGGTGAAGTTGGCAGCCCTCAATGGCTCTCTCTCTGTGAAAGGAGGTGACACTAGCCAGCAATGGCAAGCTTGCAGGCTCAAGGTTGCACCCGTGTAAAGCAGTCAGTGTTAACCGCAGCGAGAAAAGGTTCCATCTTTGACCACTGTACAACACAAACTTTGTGTTGCATTGTGGGATGCAGTGGCCATTTTGGGCCAACAGATCGTCATGGTGAATGTAAACAGAAAGGCTAAAACTTGGCACAGTTATTTGCTAGCAAACACAATGTGGTATTTCTTCATAATAAAAGTGTGTTTTGACTCATTTCTACATTGTGCTGTCTCTATTTTTAACCACACAACTAGAAAAATAAGGGAAATATGAGTTTGTTGTGGGGCTGGAACAGTTTAATTACATTTTCATTCATTTTGATGGGGGAACATTACCCCAATTTTTGAACGTTTTGGTGTGTGAACGGAACACATTAAATTCAGAAACCATGATTCCATTAAAATTGGTAAAATTACAGCCTCAAGGTTATTTTTTGGGGGTGGGGTTTTGTTTTTTTTTTGTTTTTTTTAATAACGCCACATTTTGCCCATTGTTCTTCGCAGCACTTCTCAAGCTCCATCAGGTTGGATGCACACCATTGGTGCACAGCCATTTTCAGATCTCTTCAGAGATATTCAGTCGGATTCTGGTCTGGGCTCTTGCAAGGCCACTAGAGGACATTCAGAGAGTTGTCCTGAAGACACCTTTTTGATATATTTGTCGTGTGCTTAGGGTAGTTGTCCTGCTGAAAGATGAGCTAAGTCTGAGGTCAAGAGCGCTGTGGAGCAGGTTTTTATTCAGGACGTCTCTGTCCATTGCTGCATTCATTTTTCTCTCAAATCTAAATACCGGTAGTCTCCCAGTGACTGTCGCTGTTGCATCCCTAAATACACTCACATTGTCATTATGAGGTGTTGTAAGTACAATTGTGAAAGGAAAAATTGTTTATTTTGGATTAGGGCTGCAATCTAACAAAATAAAGAAAAAGTGAAGCGGCGAGAAAATTTTCTGGATGCACAGGCTTACAAATTACAATTGATTACAAGTAGACCACTTCATATTTAGTTTCAAATCCTTTATTTGCAACAACTGCGCCAGGCCTTGGCACCATCAAACCTTTACATTCTTATTTTGAAATTAAAATGCCTGCTCTGTTGTGTACAGCACATGAGTTGTAGTTTGCAAAAAAGAATGAGATTACTTCCGAATTATTTTTAAGTGGCACATTTAAAAAAACAAATATACCCCGCTCCTCCATTTAATATTCAAACCAAAATAAAGGTTTGCAAAAACAAAATACAACCAAATGCCCAACACACCAAATAAATTAATTAATAAATAAACAAACAAATAAATAAATAAAGTCCGACAGAACTCCCAAAAAGAAAATCAAAACCTGTGCTGTCTTCTGCGACTTGCCGGGCTTGAGTCGTGGAGCCCCCGCCAGAAAATCCACTCTTTCCGAGATTGGCCCCTGAAAATAACAAACTAGAATTGAAGTGGTGCCTGACAGAAATCACAGCACACCACAAAAACCCATTCCTACTCCCACAAATTCCATGGCTGGTTCAGACCCCGGACGAGCCCCCAGTTATGACAACCCTTCCTTATACTGGCAACAAGAAAGAGTGTAACATAAATGTGGGAGTTGAAAAATGAATCTTAGAGGCGCTGTAATTCGGTTTCACTTGTCTAAACACAAATACTCACACAAAAATTGGAGTAAACACTCCCGAAACCGACTGCCTTAGTGCAACGCAAAAATGAAATGAACAAATGAACCAATGGTAGTTATTGCGAAAGTACTTGACCACACAAATCAATTAAGTGGCTAAACGGGTGAACGAATGATTCTAATTTGATGCACTTAAAAACAAAAGACAGCGGTACAAAAACACAAACACACAACAAGACAACTTTTGACACAGCCAGCCACCCGTGAAAGCAACGGAGTGATTTTTAAACGGTGGCAATTGATGAGTGTAGCTGGTGGCACACCCAGAAACCAAGAACTGATGAAGTCGCTCTCCCTTACAATTTGGAATCGACTCCCCACACAATTTTGATCATACTTTGTTTCTTTGTCTTGCAGTGGTGATCTTGTGTATGGAAGCCAGAAAAATTCGAGAAATTATGCTTGCTGCACACAGGCGTCGACTGACCAATGGCACTCACATGTTCTTCAATATTGAACTTTTCAATGCATCCTCTTATGGTAAAGCCTCCGACATTAAGATTCTGTCTAACTGATACACGCAGTTCACGTTTTTGTGATTAATTTAATATCCAAAATGTGTCAAACATACATCATATTGTTGCTTGTTTTCGGGATGTTCCTAAACTGTGTTTCAGGCAATGGGTCATGGAGGAGAGGAGACAAATTTGACAACGAAGCAAGGCAAGCCTATGCATATTTGAACACTGTGACGCTGCTTCGGACGGTCAAACCGGAGTTTGAAAACTTCTCAATGGAAATTAAAACGGCCAGTGAAAGTATGGGACTGAACAACTGCCAAGACTGCGGAAGTGTAAGTATATCTACTGTATCAGTGGATAAACTAAATTGTCATGGACTGTATACCAACTGGAAAATATTGCAGACGAAGGGCATTTTCTTTTATACAAGAAAGTTGACTAAAGGTGGTGTAATGCGATTTTGGTGTATTTGATCACGGTGCATGCTCTTTGGATATGGGAGGTGGATGTCATCTTCAGTTCAACCCTCCGAATTATTGTAGAACTCAATTAACTGCGTTCCTTATTATCGTCTTCGTAGTTTTAAAATCACTCTACTTGGCCGTGGCACAGCAATGGGGGAGGGTGGTGGTGGTTTACACATTGACACATACGCGTGTGTTGGTTTTCACTTCATGGCAGTGTTCTGTGATTCCCAACTTTACATCGGCCATCCATGGAGGTCTGCCTGGTGTTCCTTATAAACATACTTTGCGGACTGCGATCTTTTGAATGGACTCCAAGGAATCTATTTCTGCTTCCGCAATGTCAAAGACTGTGTGCCTCGAGCACGCTGACTTTATAAAGAATGAGAGGAGCCGCTTCCATTAACCAGCCAGCTAGTTGGCTGTGTTCACGCCCTCAACGGCGATAACGCCCATTTCCAGGTATGCTCTTCTGCAGGAATACCAAAAGAAGGAAAATTCTGTGGAGCTAGTGGCGCAATGGCTAACACGTCTATGGATCAGAAGACGAGAGGTTCGACTCCTGGCCAGCTTGTGTGAAATTAGCGGCCTGGTGGTCCAGTGGTTAGCGCGTTGGATGGACGGATGGATGGAAAATTCCACCCATGCAAGGGTGTGCAAAGCACAGAAGATGCCCGGGGCGAACGGCGAGTTTTGATGCCCCCTAATTTTTTGGGTGGATCGACAGGGGCAGGATGTGTGTGATGGTTTTCAAACATAAGCAGATTTTCAGCATTTGCGTTTTCCTCTTGCGGTAAACACCCAATTTGGGGATCGAACCTGCACCGCCGGCTCAGGACCGCAGAGTAGAGGGTGACACAGGAATAGATTTTCACTCCCATCCCATTCCCATTGAAAAAATCCCGTACTGTCCCAGTCCTGGACCATTTTATTTTTTTTTTTAAAAGTTATTGCGAAAGTACTTGACCACACAAATCAATTAAGTGGCTAAACGGGTGAACGAATGATTCTAATTTGATGCACTTAAAAACAAAAGACAGCGGTACAAAAACACAAACACACAACAAGACAACTTTTGACACAGCCAGCCACCCGTGAAAGCAACGGAGTGATTTTTAAACGGTGGCAATTGATGAGTGTAGCTGGTGGCACACCCAGAAACCAAGAACTGATGAAGTCGCTCTCCCTTACAATTTGGAATCGACTCCCCACACAATTTTGATCATACTTTGTTTCTTTGTCTTGCAGTGGTGATCTTGTGTATGGAAGCCAGAAAAATTCGAGAAATTATGCTTGCTGCACACAGGCGTCGACTGACCAATGGCACTCACATGTTCTTCAATATTGAACTTTTCAATGCATCCTCTTATGGTAAAGCCTCCGACATTAAGATTCTGTCTAACTGATACACGCAGTTCACGTTTTTGTGATTAATTTAATATCCAAAATGTGTCAAACATACATCATATTGTTGCTTGTTTTCGGGATGTTCCTAAACTGTGTTTCAGGCAATGGGTCATGGAGGAGAGGAGACAAATTTGACAACGAAGCAAGGCAAGCCTATGCATATTTGAACACTGTGACGCTGCTTCGGACGGTCAAACCGGAGTTTGAAAACTTCTCAATGGAAATTAAAACGGCCAGTGAAAGTATGGGACTGAACAACTGCCAAGACTGCGGAAGTGTAAGTATATCTACTGTATCAGTGGATAAACTAAATTGTCATGGACTGTATACCAACTGGAAAATATTGCTGACGAAGGGCATTTTCTTTTATACAAGAAAGTTGACTAAAGGTGGTGTAATGCGATTTTGGTGTATTTGATCACGGTGCATGCTCTTTGGATATGGGAGGTGGATGTCATCTTCAGTTCAACCCTCCGAATTATTGTAGAACTCAATTAACTGCGTTCCTTATTATCGTCTTCGTAGTTTTAAAATCACTCTACTTGGCCGTGGCACAGCAATGGGGGAGGGTGGTGGTGGTTTACACATTGACACATACGCGTGTGTTGGTTTTCACTTCATGGCAGTGTTCTGTGATTCCCAACTTTACATCGGCCATCCATGGAGGTCTGCCTGGTGTTCCTTATAAACATACTTTGCGGACTGCGATCTTTTGAATGGACTCCAAGGAATCTATTTCTGCTTCCGCAATGTCAAAGACTGTGTGCCTCGAGCACGCTGACTTTATAAAGAATGAGAGGAGCCGCTTCCATTAACCAGCCAGCTAGTTGGCTGTGTTCACGCCCTCAACGGCGATAACGCCCATTTCCAGGTATGCTCTTCTGCAGGAATACCAAAAGAAGGAAAATTCTGTGGAGCTAGTGGCGCAATGGCTAACACGTCTATGGATCAGAAGACGAGAGGTTCGACTCCTGGCCAGCTTGTGTGAAATTAGCGGCCTGGTGGTCCAGTGGTTAGCGCGTTGGATGGACGGATGGATGGAAAATTCCACCCATGCAAGGGTGTGCAAAGCACAGAAGATGCCCGGGGCGAACGGCGAGTTTTGATGCCCCCTAATTTTTTGGGTGGATCGACAGGGGCAGGATGTGTGTGATGGTTTTCAAACATAAGCAGATTTTCAGCATTTGCGTTTTCCTCTTGCGGTAAACACCCAATTTGGGGATCGAACCTGCACCGCCGGCTCAGGACCGCAGAGTAGAGGGTGACACAGGAATAGATTTTCACTCCCATCCCATTCCCATTGAAAAAATCCCGTACTGTCCCAGTCCTGGACTTTTTTATTATTTTTTTTAAATGGATCCTATCCTGTCCCGCACCTGGTCAAAACAACTCTCAATTGGCTCCCGTACAGAATGGGTCCCACCGCCATATCGCTCCCATTTGGGAGGTCAGCTACCGTACATTAAAAATGGCTGTGCATCTGTCCGAGGTTTTTGGGAGTTTTTTTAATACTGGATAATCCTACTCTCGTCTGCTCACGTGAATTTTTTATTCTGTGTCATCCGTATCCCATGATTAAAGGTAAAATTAACTACCATGAATCGTTGAATTCCCCCAAAAATGTCAACCTCTAGCGCAGAGCACTAACCGCTGAGCTGAAATGGTAAAAATAAAACAGTGTATTACAAGGTACTGTACATGAAATAAGCCTGCAAGATGACATCCCATTAGCCCTTTTCACACTGCATTTAGCAGGGCGCAACGTGCTGTCATCAAACCCATTCATTGTGTATGTGGTGAGGAGCGGAGACCACAGAATGGAGCGTTGCTGGTGGTAGGAAGCGCCGCGACAAGAGGACTTCTGTCGTGAGAAAGTTCTACTCGAGAGCGGCGGTGCCCTGACGTCAGAAAACAACCTCCAATTGGAGAGGAGTTGGCAGAGTGATATTGTGTTATTTGGGCAGACCTATTTACAAGTAACGGCATGATTATACGTTCCAAGTTCCCAAAGAGACCATTAGTTTTTGCTGCTGTTTGTGTGCCCCCCCCCCCGTCCTTAAAATAAGATAAGTCAGGTTTTTCTTTTGTGACAATGACAGACGCAATCTTGTCAAAGTACGTTCAAACCCCCCCGCCCCCGCGTTGTCCCCACCCTCTGCACAGCCCTGCATCCATGCACACAATTGGACCACTCTTGACGCTACACTGGCGTTGAGCATGCTGGGCGGTGGGCGTGATATCTTGCCTCCACTTTTCTGTGAAGTACAGGCCCAAAAATATTTACAGGAGGAAAATAAATAACTAAAATGAGCTTGCAGGCCAGATCGGTAAATATAACTTTAAATATTGTTTTTGTCATTCAGGTGATGTGTGTTTCTGTTCTGTGTACCTCCTGTTTTGGCTCCAATCAATTAATTTGAACACCTTGGCACATCACCTGCAGGTGCATGGCCTAAAAGTGCTACTCCAGTAAATCGACTACATGACAGTAAATGACTACAGTAGAGTACATCACTTGGATAATTCAAGTGTTGTTGGATCCAAAATGAACAATCCTTTGTTCAATTTTAGATTTATTGCCTCAATTTATGTGGAAATGATGATGAAGTGTCCTTCTGACAAATTAAGGATTGATTTGTGCGACAGTGGAACCTCTAGTTATGAATGTAATTGGTTCCTTGAGCCTGTTCGTAACTTGAAATGTTCATGAATTGAGGTCATATTTCCCATTTAAATGAATGGAAATGCAGCTAATCAGTTCCAGGCCCCAAATTAAGTTATATTTTAAATTTTTTTTCAAGTTTTACCAGTGTGTGTTAAAAAAATAAAGATAATATAGAAAGAAGTGAAAACACAAACCATTATAAAGAAATAAACCATATAAAAAACATAACTATTGCTCACTAACTTTACCAGATTGGGGGGGCGGGAGGTAGGGGGGGGACAGTTCCTAATTGAAGAAGGTTGTCTTCCATAATAACATGGAAGAAATCTAATTCAAGTGGGGTGTCACATAATTTTAAAGATACAGTACATTTCGTTTTAATCATTTTTAATTTTTTTATTGCCTCACTCATGCTATCACCATCAAGTGCTTTCTCATCTTGAAAACTCGTCTTAAAACTCATTTTCATTCTTTGGCTTAGTTACTTATAATGTAGCTAAACACTTAACCTCAATATTGTCGCCTCTTGTGGGCCTGAGCAAACACAATGTTGAAAACACAGGTGAATTTGTCAACAAAATTAGGGACTTAAAAGTAGAGAAAGACGAAACAATTGTTTCTTTCGACGTCACAGCCCTGTTCACCTCGGTGCCCACAGCCACGGCTGTAGAGGCTGTTAGAAGAAAACTTTTAGATGACAAAACGCTAGCTGAAAGAACTAAACTGTTGCCGGAACACATTTGTGAACTGTTAGAAATATGCCTCAACACAACTTACTTCAAATTCAGGGACACGTTTTACCACCAGGTCTTTGGATGTGCCATGGGATCCCCTGTGTCTCCCATTGTGGCCAACTTGTACATGGAAGAATTTGAAAATTTGGCAATGTCTTCATACAAAGGTTCCCCACCAAGCCATTGGTTTAGATATGTGGATGACACCTTTGTCAAAATCAAAACAACGGAAGTTGAGGGATTCACCGAACACATAAATAATCTAGACGACAGCATCAAATTCACCAGAGAAGACGCAAAAGACAA